GAAGAGATTATAATTTTGTAAGTGAAATAAAAAATATAAAATAATTTCACAGAATGAAAATTTTCCTTTAACATTTAATTATATGAAAGTTCTAAAAAAAAAATCCTGGTATTAACCCTAAAACTACAAATGGACTCCAACAGCTATTTATTGGTTACTGGATCTCTAATAATATACAATACAAACACAAATTTAAACAAATATACAATTAATCTATTGCAATTAATCCCATTAATTAATGTCAAAGTCACCCTTTCCCTGTATATTTTACATGAACATGAGATATTTCACCTAATTTTTTGGTCAGTTTTTTTGACTGAGTGTTGTAACAAGGAAAAACACAAATTACTTAGTGCAATGCAATATGTGAGCCTCATATTAGTGAATAATACATATTAAAACAGTCAGTAATTTGAGGTTTTAAATAAAAATTCATCCAACATCATCAGTAAATCTTTACACATGATAAGTAGAAAAGAAAGAAATAAAAGGTTGAGGTTAGTAATACATGTATATTTTTACCTGTACTTTTCCTCCTGTACTTCCCCGAGGACCTGCAGAAATTGTAGTATTTCCTTGCAACCCTTTTTCCTGCTTTCTTCCATCTGATTTCTCAGTTTCCTTTTTTTTTAAATAACTAAATATTACATACTATTTACTACAAATACTTCTATCCAAAGTTGCAATTAATTATAACCTTATGTCAAGATGGGCATAATACATACAGTTAAAACAATCTACAAGAAGATATTTTAATATCACATTGGTCAAGTAATACAGTATTTGGTTAAAAATTGAAAAAGCAAACCATTAAACACCCAAGCAGTAACTGACCAGTAGCTGAACAATGATATCTGGCACATGACAGGATACAGATAGTAATAATAATTTTTTCTTAGATTGTTCAAGAAAAAATCTTTATCACTGAATTTTTTTAAAAAATTATTATTAGTAAGTATTCTATACTACTAAAAAAAAAAAAAACTTATTTATACAGTATATAACAGTAAGGGTTTCTATTTGACTAAG